TCTTTACCATCCATTCAGAAACCAGTGGCACTGAGAGGGCATCTGAAAGGTGAGATATAACCTAACGGCGGGGCACCAGGAACGTGTCGCTGTCCAGTTCATCCCAGTGCACAGCAACCCTACGGGACGGAGGCAGCGGCGCCACTGGGTGTCCCAGGCTGTCCTCTTTGCAGACAGACTGCCGCCTCTTTCTCCCACGGAGCAGTTGGTGGGTGTGAGCCACCAATCTTAGGTCATCAGCCAAGCACTTAACCACTGCACTACCAGGGCTCCTTGTTACACCAAGAATAGATATCAAATAGGTACAAATACTTAACCAATAACAAATCATAGTTACATCAAGAGAAATGGAGAGGACACGCGGTCCTTTTTTCCCTTTATTTCTGTCAGCTGGGGATATTCCACCCTCTAGATCGATCTCGCTCTGGAGAAGCTTGCGAATGCAAGAGTTGAAAACGACCCTGGCTCAGGTGAGGAGGAAATACTAAGAACTACCACCACCACAAAATCCAGCAGACAAATGGATTGTAAATAGAATTAAGGCTATCTTTAAGAAAATAGTTCAGAGATGGAGGCAGAATGAGAAAGGCAGTATCAATGAGGCAAGCTTCAAAGCAAAATGAGATCAAAGAAAGGGGGCAGGAAGAGGAGAGGGCATCTGGGGCAGGAGGAAGAGCAGGGTGCAGGGTAGGAAGTGATATAGTCCGTGGTATAGACAGTGAGCAGGGAGGGCTGGCCGTTACGGAGTGAGTGCTGGGGGGGGCGATATGCAGCAGGTGCAGCTGGGTCAGGACAATCAGGCCAAGAAGGGGGTGGGCCTGATAACTTGCACTGGGGGGACACACAAACCAACCATGACATCTGAATGCTTCTCTCCAAGATCAGTTCTCTGAGAACGAATAACATTTGAGTTCTGAATGAAGATTTTCCCACAATCCCTTTCTCTAAGATGGCGCCACTGATGCCATTTCAATCCTGACATCTTGTTGAAGACCTTCCCACAGTCTTGGCACTCTTGGGCTTTCCAACAAGGACGGACCTGTTGATGCTGATTTAACCTGGCTTTCTGCCTGAAGGCCTTCCCACATTCCATGCACTGATGGGCTCTCTTTCCAGCATGGATCTTTTGGTGCCTGAGGAGCTGTGAGTTCCAGGTGAGGCCTTTCCCACACTCGTTACGTTGGTAGGGACTTTCCAGTGTGCAGCATCTGGTGGTAGGTGAGCTGTGAGTTGTTGGAAAACGTGGCCACATTCTTTACATGCATAGGACTTCTCACCAGTGTGTGTCCTCTGATGCCGAGTAACAGTGAGTTTCGGATGGAACGCCTTGCTGCAGTCCTTGCATTTGAAAGGTTTCTCTCCGGTGTGGACTCAGTGATGTGCAGTGAGGTAGGAGCTGCAGCTTAAAGCTTTACCACACTTTGCAACATGTAGGATCGCTCTCCTGTGTGGATCCTTTTGTGTTGAACAAAAGCAGAGTTCAAGGCAAAGGCTTTGCCACAATGCATACACTCATAGGGTTTGTCTCTAATGTGGATTCTGCAGGGTTAAGAAAAACCTGAAATGTGACTGAAATGTTTATGAGGCACATCCAATTTGCAGGAAATTTCTGCATCTGGAAGTTGTAGATGTGTGGCGAGGTAAGGACTGACCTTGCTCTCTGATTTCTCATGTGGATGACATCTATTTTCCTTATGAATTTTCTCATTCTTTACTCCTGCCTTTGCTGATTTGGTCTTATTTTCTCTCAATGTATCTCCCATGGGTTTTCCTGAATTGCTTTATATCTTGCTATCTGAACCAAAATGACTTAAAAATGGGTCTCTGGGAAAGGTCTCTCAGATATTCCTCTGAAGCCAAGTCACAGGATTTAGTCTTCTCAAAAGTATCCAGATTTGAGGTCAAAAGCTCATTTTCAGCTCCGATTTTACAACCTGAGGAGAAATCATAAATGCAATGATCACCTCTTAGCAGTGTTAGGACCTATATTATCAAGGATGTAACTATGTCCTCTGAGCACACAGCTTGTACGTGCTCATTGATTGATTTCACAGAGTACAGGGAATGAAGGAGGAGGGGAAATGCATGTTCTGGGAACCAAAAGGGAACAGGGCTACATTTGGTCCTGCGATCAGAGATGCAAAGGAGACAAGATAATGAGGGCTGGTTGGAAAGAGTAACACTGTTGAAACACCTGACCCTGAGAAAGGTCTGAAAGTGACCAAAAAGGAGTAGGGCGGTGAATCGGCCACACCATCAGCAAGGAGAAAGTAAGCAGAAGACGTGGAGAGAAAATGAACCGAGACTCCCATTGCTTAATGAAATATGATGAATGTGCAATCAAGAAGTTTTCAATGGTTCGCAAACATGAGCAATGTACAGGACTGGAGAACACCCGACGGGACAAGGTAACACGGATCAAACTTGCCACCCATCATGCCCAACCCGTGGTAAAGTGCATGGTAACTCAGGCTTGAGGCATTCCCTTGCCCATCACAATGCCCCCGGATATGCTGACTAAAATGCAAACCCTCTGGCCTGACCTGGAATAGGACATTGTGGAAGAGTCCAGATTCACAATTGAAGTTTTCAAGGTGAGTCTTATACGCATGAAATGTTCAATGTGTTACTCCAAGAGAACGTTACTCCAAGATCAACTCTACCAAAAATAATACCCTCCAAGAAAGGGTGATGAGCCAAAATCCAACTGACAAAATTCATCTGTGTTTTGTTGGGGGGAATCTCTACTCCTGTAGAAAGCAGCTACCGAGGCAACGTCTCAGAAACAGTCTAAAAGACAGTCAGTCCTCTGGCACGACTGGATGTGTTGCAGGGCAGCAGGGAACCAGTTTCTGAGCCCTCACCATCACAGATGCCCTCCCCACCTCGACCCCGTCCTCTCTGGATCCAGAATGAAGCATCAACAGAAAATGGAATCCTCACAGGGGTGAGGGCAAGCCAGCGAGACAGAGGACAGAGAGCAATGGAGCCCCTATGAGCTGGAAATGTTTTTCAAAAGAAAAGAAAAAGGGAGCTATTAATGACTGAGCACATACTAAGGCAGGGGGAAAAAAACCTAATCATGACTATTGAAGCTGCTAGTAAATGAATATTTGCTCAACATTAACTGAAGGAAAGAGTTGTTGGCAGTCTCGTAGTCTCGAGGTTACAGATGAGTGCAGTTGCTAAGTGTGTCTGATAGGTAAGTGAGAACAGAACAGGTGCACACAGTGCTCACTTACCTTTACTTTAGAGCCAACAGCACGCGTTGTGCGATGGGTGAGGGGTTGGGCTGTTAACCACAGGCTAGTTCAAACCCACCAGCAGCATTTCAGGGGAAAGATCTGGCTGTCGGCTCCTGTTCTGCCCTGTCCTACCGGGTCTCTGTGAGTCAGAATTAACTCAATGGCAGTGGGGTTGGTGTTGTACAAGAGAAAAGAGTCAAAGCCTCTTCGATGTTTTAAAAACTGCACGTGACGGTGATCAAGATCAAGAATGCTTCTGGAGGAGGGGCTGGTTCAAAGTGAGGACAACATCACATGGTGTTAACGGGTAAGCAGGAGTTGTCCTTCAGTCGGCCCTCTGGAGCCAGGAACTTACTGTCATCATTCACCTTTTCTTTCTAAAAGCCACTGTGGACAAGAGAGTCTGTTCTGCAGAATACTATCAACTAATCAATGTGGAAGGCAAAACTAGAAAATCATCATCATGCAACCGCTCACGAAGGGAGCAGAGAAAGACTTCACAGTTGGTGGGAGCATCTCTTCGTGGATGGCGGATCAGGCCTCTGGCTTCCCGGGGGTAACCCTAAAGTGACAATGAGGGACTGGGTCGAGCCTCTCACACTGCCGACAAAGCCCCGCTGGAAAGGAGGAGGCTCACTTCCTACGTCAGTGGTCCATGTTGGCAACGCAAACGGCCACCCAGAAATCACATGCATCCTAGTGTGATGCAATATGAAGGCATGAGATCACAGATGATGCCGCATAGTCAAAAATGCTCATGATGTTACATCTAATTATGAATTCTCAACTGTGGGAGGAATCCAGTTAAATGAAACTACAGAGGAAAAAACTGAGAAGGTGGAACAAATAACTCCATCACTTCACCAGGTCAATCAATGTCTTCAAAAAGGGACTGTCTCTAAATCAAAACAAAATAAAAAAACACCTTTAAGACGCAGTTGTAATTTTTAATCCCATGAGCAAATGAAGTGAAAGGGTATTTTAAGAACAAAAAAGGGTATCTGAGTAAAGACCCAGCACTGGATAATACTGAGTAATTATTTTTAATTTAACAAAATTGATAGTATTGTTTTAGTTATGTTAAAAAATATATTGAGGGTCCCTGTTAACTCAGTGGTTACAGCACTCGGCTGCTAACCAAAAAGTCGACCATTCGATCCCATTCAGCACTCAAGATGAGCAAGATGTGGCAGTCTACTTCCATAGCGACTCCATCCTTGGAACCCACAAGGGAAGTTCTGCCCTCTGTCTGACAGCATTCCTGAGTCAGCAACGACCCGGTGCCTGTGGGTGCAGCTTTTTCAGTTTTAGAAAATATCCCTAAAATTTGAGGACACGTCCTGAGGTTTTTTGAAGTAAAATGTCATTGTGTCTCTAGCGTCCAAAAACAGAATGAGAAGAAAACATAACTTTCTCCCTGTCCTACTCATAATACACAATACCGAAATGACCAATTTGAGGAAATGAGTTGTATTGAAGAGATGTGGAAAACAAGTATCAAGCCAGCATTTAGAATATTTTCCTTCAAACATCTTCATGCATAATAAAGCATCTTAGTGTGGGAAATAAGGGAGCAGGGTAATAAGGATTCATGCAATGGACTAAAAGATGGGAAGAAACTGAGTAACCGACCAGTTTAAAAATGGTGTGATCAAACATCCCAGGAATCCCATGAAGCTAAGCAGAGCGCACTTGGCCTTTCATATTAAGAAAGAGGCCAAGCTGGAAAGGAGAGGGCTTGCCCTGCCTACTCACCTGCTCTCCTGCCCCTCCTGCCCGGAGCACCCTGCGCCTGCCTGAACTGTGGCTCTTCCCCTTCCTCCAGCTGAGAGATCAGAGCTGGTGTGGAAGCAGGTGGCATTACTTGAAGGGATGAAAATAAGACACAATGATGAGCAGAGGCAGAGGTGTCTGTTTCCGTCTGGATGCAAACACAACAGGGGAGGTGAGGAGAAGAATTCCTGGGTGGGTTATGCAAAAGGTACCCAGGAAAGGTACCAGAGGCCTAGGGAGTACTGCCAGGACAATGCTCCCCTTTCTAGAAGGGGAACCGAGGTTTCTTACTCCATCAGAGGAATCGGAAATGGCTGCTGAAGGAAGGAGGCCCCAGGAGGGAGGCAAAGGGGCTGAGGTTCCCCCAACGTGATTGGAAAGATGAGAGATGTCAAGGAACCACACCAAGAAGCTCCTCGACCTCTGCTGGGTCCAGAGGGTCATCGCGGAGGCAGGGAAGAAAGCAAGGATTTCTCTCCCATACGTGGCAATCCCAAGGGTGAGCCGTTTAGGGTCCATACCCCGGAAGCCAACACGCAGTTCATAGTTAAAAGAGACACCTCAAGCCTCTGAAGGCCCAGGCCGGGGCGGCAGCAGGAAAGCCTTTCCCCAGCTCATAGTTCTCCAGCATCACATCCCTGTACAAGGCCTTCTGAGCAGGGCTCGGGCTGGCCCATTCCTCACGGGTGAAGCACGCAGCCACATCCTCGGTCCTAGAGCCCGCAAGAAGCCAGGATGAACTATAAGTATCTGCTTCTGACGCCCAATGAATCAGTCCAGCACCCCTTCCCCCAGGGGCCGATTGTCCACTTTGGGAAACACCGCTTTCACTCTTCCTTCTCCTGACTCTCCTCCCCATCTGTGCTTTTTCACCCACGGCAGGAAGCAAATAGATGGCTGGGGTGGTGTTAAGAACCCTCCTGTCACTTTTGACTCAGTGGCCCTCTGTGAGCAATATAGCAAAACACTGACCAGTCCTGTGCCGCCACCCCATCCCACCATCCTTGCTGTGTTTGAGCCCAACATCGCAGCCCCTCTGTCACTCCATTTCCATGAAGGGCTGCTTCTTGTTTGCTGAACAAGCGATGTTACCAAGCGTGAAGTCCTTTCCCAGGGATTCCTGTCTTCCGATAACATGCCCAGAGTCACTGAGACAACTCTCGCCATCCTCGCTTCCAAAGAGCATTCTGGCTATACTTCTCCCAAGACACACGTGTTTCGTTCCAGCAGTCCGTAGTCAATTTCCTATTCTCTACCAGCACCATGATTAAAGGGCATTGATTCTTGCTCAATCTTCCTTATTGCCTAGCTTTTCCAGCTATATGAAGCAACTGACAAAAACCATGGCTTCCGCCGCCACATACACCTTCCCCCTCCCTCCAAGGGACATCTCCGCTGTGTAACACTTCAAGGAGGGATCTCCCGCAGAAGAGTCACCCAATGCAACACATCATCTGATTCCGTGACTGCAGTTCCGTGGGCATTGATGTGGATCCAAGCAAAATAAAATCCTGGACAAGCCCAATTTTTCTGCTCCATTGGTAATGATGTCACTGGTTGCCGACAACCAGCTGCCAAGATGACAAGGTGGTTTTGCCCAGAAGCCGGGGACTTGGGCGCGGTCCCAGGCTTTGTGTAACCCTTCACAGTAGTCCTTGTCTTTGTGACAAGCAAACGATGAGCTAACAGAATGTACGGGTTTAGAGTCAATGTACCCTGGGGTCCTCGGAGCAAAGTACAAAGTATGTTTCGCTTGACAAGCTCCTCAAACAGACTGAGCACCAGCTCTATAAGGAAGCTGCCAAACGCTGACCTCTGATCAGACCTCCAGTCCCATCGGGTCTCTGTTTCTTTCTGGTTCCGGACCCCAACTCTCAGGCTCTCTCACTATTGCTGTGCAGGTAACGGCAACTTACTGGTGCAGTGGTAAGAATTTCGTTTGATGCTGAGGTGCAATCCACAGTGAACACCGTAGTCTTTGATCTTCAGCAGGAAGTGCTTCAGGTCGTCTTCCCACGGGGGTGTCATCGGGATGGCACAGGCTGCCCATGGCTCTTCCTCCAGCTCGATGTCATGTTCTGCTTCACACAGTGCAGCTGCTGGATGATTAGGACACAGGCTATATAAGTAGGTTTAAGGATACAATCCAGTCGCATACCTCTCCTAATTTTAAACCATGTGGTATCATCTTGTTCTATTCAAAGGACTACCTCTTGGGCTTCTAGAATTCCCATTCTCTGCAATAATATTTATAATTTGTCTTGTCCCACAGAAATTTTCAACAAAGATTTAGCTGAGAGCAAAGATACCCCTTGTTCTGCGTGAAATTTTGACCGTGCCCTGTCCATGTATTGCTGCAACCATTTTTAAATTTTCTTCAGCATACTTTTACTTGTGGGTGATAATATTTGAAAACGTCCACTCTCTTTGACATCATTTCCTCTTATACTCTGACCTCACTTCCTATTCTCTGCAGCCTCCCTGGGTCCCTCTCGCAGTACGCTCTACACGTGGCTCTTCCTGCCTCAGAACCCAAGTATTTGCTCTTCTCCTGGCCAGGAATGTTTGCTCCTTTCACCTCACTGTAAATTCCAAGCCCTAGTGGCCCTACAGGAGAGGGGAGGACTGTCGCTGTGGATTTCCCAGACTGTCACTCTACTTACGGGAGTAGAAAGCCCCCTCATTCTCCTACAAAGGGGTTGCTGGTTTCAAACTGCTGACCTTACAGTTAGCAGCCCCATGTGTCACCACCACGCCACTAGGGCTCCTGCCTTGTTTCTACACATCCGTATAGCCGGAGCCCTGTTTCACTCTGGTTTCTGTGCAAATGTCTGGTCGTCAGGAACTGTTCACAACCCCTGATCTTCCCCTCTCCGTTCTTCTTCTGTGCTTCATTTTTCCTTACGGAATTGACCATGGTTGCTATATACTGTTAGGTCGATTCAACTCAAGCAACCCCAAAGGGCAGTGCTGAACTGCCCCCTTGTGTTTCCGAGATTACTGGCATAAATATTTGCACTCTGTGAGGTTCGTCCACATTTTGCCAATATAAACAAACATCTGCTAAACAAGGGAATAAAGGAATGGGTTTCTGTGTAGCCAGCTCATGCCTGTCCTTCATGTACTTCTGCATCCTAAGAGCATTTCCTGCTGCCGCCACATGGTTCCCGCGTTCTTCAGCCTACCCTATCATGCAGGTACATCTCATCTTGGCAACTACCTCCTCTTAACCTGGGACTTTCCTTTGGTGAATGCAGCCAGATGCATCTTCACTGTCAGGCATAGGTTCAATAAAGTGCTTGTGTTGGCTTGTCTCAACACTTAAGCTGACAGAGACTGAAGGAGCTAGCACTTACCTGAAGCCTGGCTATCAAGGGCATCTGGTGTCTTTAATTTCTCTTATGAGGAAAGGCACAATTCTCAGGAGCTGAAGGCAGAGAAAGAGAAATCAACCAGACTGAAGTGACCATGACTCCCACCCCTCACCCCTGCTTCCCCTTTCACATTGAACGTGGCCTGCACGGACAGCATGATTTTCCATTCACGGGAAAGGGTCACATGTATGTAAATGGGCTTCAAAAGGTTCTTGGAAAAATGAATTACAAGAGAGTGTATTTTCCTATGACTTTTTTGGAGCCCTTCATGGAAAGACAGAGATTGCTTCAGGAAGATGAAGCTGTCAGTTCCATATACCCAAAGGTGGCATCAGGGGAGGGCAATTAGAAGGGGAAACTGAGAGAGTCGATGGACAGAGGGCGTGTGAGGCAAAAAGAAAAATGGCAACTCAAACTGTGGCTAAAGTCCCCTAGAATCTACACACCAAACATGGCAGGAAGGGGCTTATTAGGTAGGCATTCAAACACTGGAAGACACTGGGCAAAGCCCTTAACTCTCGGTCTCTAAAGGAACCTTGGTGGCACACTGGGTTATGTGTTGGGCTGCTAACTGCAAGGTCAGCAGCTCAAAGCCACCAACCACTCGATGGAAGAAAGATGGAGCTTCTACTCGCATAAAGGGTTACAGCCTCAGAGACTCACAGGGGCAGCTCTACCCTGTCCTGTACTACAGGGTCACTGCGAGTCAGCATCAAATGTATGCCAGGGAGTTTGTTTTTGTTGTTGTTTGTGTTGGGAAAAAGAGTGCTGGTCTAGACAACTTCATAAGCCCCATTAAGCAACATACATCAATGATTCTGATAACTCTCTAATACTATTTTTCTTCCAAGACAGATTTAAGATGCTTCATTAGTTTTACAGCTCAAGCACAAGATGGAGGAAGATGAATCTAAAGAGAACAATAGTCAAGTTATATGAGATATCCCAAGCATCACAGTATGCAATAGCAAGCTAGTTCCAAATCCCATTCTCTGCTACCTAGTCCATTATTGGGAAGTAGGGATTCTATCCTTTGAACTGATTCTGCAAGACACACCCATTAAAGACAATGCAGTGTGACTGCTACTGCTGGTTAGATGAGCTAACTCCAATCAGCAAAATTCTGCAAGTTCTCAAAAAGAGAAAGACAGAAAACGCAGCTCACTACCATCAAGTCAATTCCAAATCACAGCAACCAAAAGACAAGGTCTTTGGAGAACAGTCTCCTGTGGGATTCTGAGACTGTAAATTTTTATGAGAGTAGAAACCCTTATTTTTCTCCCATGAGGACGGCTGGTGGTTTTGAACTGCTGACCTTGCAGTCAGCAGTCCAACACAGCCCACAGTGGCACCAGGGCTCCTCCACGAGTCCTAGTGGATTGCTAACCTCTGACTGCCTTGATTGAAGCCAAAGCAGATGGTGCCACCACACCCAGCTTTCCCCCTCTACTGATACATCCTGCAGGAACAGACAGCAAAGACAAAAATCCACAATCCAAACTCAGTTCTTGCAGCTTTACCAAGCCCATGGCATTCTGAAGCTAGGGCAGCTGAGAAAAGTGAACCCAAGGAAAAGTTGTCAAATGATACTAGACACTCTAATAAGAAAAAGTGGTTAAAAGCATGAATTAAACAGGCTCGATGCCATTGAGTGCACTAGCACTCAGAGCAGCCCTGTGGACACAGGGTTTCTGAGGCTGTCAAACTTTATGGGAGCAGAAACCTTCATCTTCCTCCTGAACACTGGCTGGTGAGTTCAAACTGCTGGTCTTGTGCTCAGCGGCCCAACTCAAAACCCACTACACCACCCAAAACCAAGACAAAACAAAGCTCACTGCCAGTGAGTCAATGACAACCCATTGTGACCCTACAGGGCAGGGCAGAACTATGTAACTTTCCCGGTGAGTTTCCAAGACTGTAATTTACCGGGAGTAGAAAGCCCTTTCTCCCTCGGATCAGCTGGTGGTTTCAAACTGCCAACCATTCCGTTAGCAAACCTACTCATAACCACTATGCCACCAGGGCTCCTTAAAAATATGAACAGAAAGACATAAAAGGAAACAGCAAAATCTTCACAGGAAGTGCTGTTAATGTAAAGGAAAGCTTTTCTACTCAATGTAAACAAACATAGTAAGACTTGTAAATAGAGAACATTTTAAAAATAGAGAACCTGTTGAATCTTTGTACCTACTTTTCTTATAGAGTGAATATTTCATACATTGGAAAACTCAAAAGACCTTTAGATCAAGAGACTGAGCTATTAAAAAGCATATGCCTATAAAAATATTAAAGTCCAATGCAAATAATCTAGACTATTCTAAAAAGACAAGGCTGTCAGAATCGCTTGGGATAGCAGTGAGTGTGTTTCACACTCCTGACGCTGTCCATGAAAAGCCTTAACTACGGGTTTCAGGTCCAAACATCAAGTCTGCTGTAGACATGTCACTTCAACTAACAGATTGTGAAAATCAGTCCAGTCTGAATCCTCAGAAATTTAATGTCAACTACAAAGTAAAATGAATAGACGCAACAAAAAGCATCAACAGGTGTGAGAATAGAGAATGCTTTATCATCTCTCAGCTTTGGAAAAGAGTGACAAGTCCATAATTGAATACATATGTTAAGGGTGCATGAAGGAAGCCATTAGATAACAATGTACTGTACCAATACCAAATCTTTTATCTAGACTTTGCACTTTGGGGACTAAGTTACATCTTGACATGAAAGTCCAGTGTTACAACGTCCTGAGCATTCTGGATGCTCAATAAACAATGAAAAGCTGCCGGTCTGAGCTGAAAGCCAGGCCACCCAAAGTAATGTTTTCCGTGGTCACAACCCTGACACTTAAAACGGACTGGGTGTTGCCGGAGCCCAGGAACAAGGGCGGTGGAGGGGTCTTCTCGGGGGCGTGGCCCAGAGGGTGGGCAGAGATAACCTGCCCACGGTAAGAAACGGGGCGGGAGCCGGTGCCTGGATTCCAGGCCAGGGCGTGCCGTCTGCGGTCGAGACCAAAAGTCAGGAGCAGACGCGCCCGCCTCCCCGGGGTCCTCCGCGTCCTTCCGGGACCAAGACGGACCCGCTCACCGTGGGTCAGCGCAGCCCCCGCTGCGTCTCAGCGATCGCACCGGCGACGGGCACCAAGCCCTGTTACTTTAAAACTCGGCCTAAGGAAACGCGTCATCACACTGGCCGGTAAACTTCCTGCCCCACCCCCACCCACCCCTCCGTCTCTCTAGGAATCTTGGCGGATCGCGCACTCGGTGGTCCCTCGTAGTTTCCGCGCGCGACCATAGTGAGGAATCGGATAGACAGGCCCGCTCTATCCGCTCGGTCGGCCCCTGCCACCAGCGCTGGGCGGAAACGCGGAGACTGGGTTCTTTCTCCAATTGACATCGTTGGCAAAGAGGCGGGAATTTGAAGAGCGAGCAAAAGACAGAGCCTTTATTTCCATTGGATACTGGCCCTCTTCCTGGTGACTAAGGCCCGTGCCTGCCTGTCCCACAAGACCTGAAAAGAAATCGCAGGCCGGCCGTGGGCATTTGAATGAGGCAGACACGGATATCGGCGTAGGCTGCCAGCTCCCAGAAGGATTTTACAGTGCCTGATACCTGCTACAAACGATGTGAGTCGAAATCCGCCTTAGTTTGGTTTTATTTTGGCGGGGTGCAATGCTGAGTACTGACCACTAACCAACCGAGAGGCGCCTTGGAGGAAAGTCCTGTTGATCAGCTTCCAAACGACCAAAACTGAAAACCCAAGGGATGCCGTTCTCTGCACATGGGCCATCACCCCGAGTCAATGGAGGAGAGCAGCTGGTGGGACTTTTTCGGGTTTTGTTTATATTTTTAAAATCAAGTGTATTTTTTGCATATTACCAAAGAACCTGACATTCAAAAGCCAATATTTACAGTGGCATCTCAATAGATAATATAGTTAGGAATAATGATAACAAAAGTGTCAGATGTTTATAAAAATTACAAAATTAAGATTTTGCATTACGATGTCAATTATTCAAAATGTGACCCACAGATTCCATGAAAATGCAACCAAAATCTCAGCAAGATTTTTTAGACATTGACAAAATGATTTTAAAATGTATGTCAATTATAAAGTAACAGTAAAAAACAAAACAACAAAATAGAAGAATTTAACATATTTCATGCTGACGTATTATAAAGGTATAGTGGTAAAGAACTGTTGTATTGGCACCATGAAAGATAGAGAAATCAATGAGTCCAAAAATAGACATATATGGATTTTTTACACTGGAGCCAGAAAAATCAATGAAGAAGAACTTTTTCAACAAATGATACTGAGAACTTGGATTGATGGATAATAATTTTTAAAATGACCTTTAACCTTCTAAACTGTATGACAAAGGACCTTGAAATGAATCATAGACATAAATGTAAGGGCTAAAACCATAAAACATCTGGAGAAAATCTTAATAACCGTAAGTTGTGACTAAACCTAACACTTTTCATAATAAAATTATTCAGCATACTAAGAATAGAAGGGAGCCTACTCAACATGATAGAGTGTATTTATTTAAAACATTAACTTTTTTTTTAAGTCCACTGTTTTCAAGTTATTTCCAACTGACAACCCTTGAGGACGGAGTAGAACTGTTCCATGGGGTTTTTAAGACGGTGCAGAAGCTGCCTCTTTGGAAGCAGGCTGCCTTATCTTCCTCACGGAGTGGCTGGCGGATCTGAACCACTGTTCTTCAGTTAGCAGCCCAGCACATCAATCCACTGTACTTCCAGAATTGGCATCACACTCAGCAGTGAAAGACTGAAAGGGGTCTCCTTGAGAGGAAAACCAAGACGAGGGTATCTGCTCTCCCCACTGCTATTCAACATTGCGCCGGAATTTCTAGTCAGAACAATTAGGCAAGAAAAAGAAGTAAAAGGCAACCACATTTTAAAAGTACAACTATGTCGGTTCACAGATGACATGATCCTACACACAGAGGATGGAAGGAATAATCAATCAGTTGCACCAAAAAGAGTTGGTCGTCTTTCAGCCATTTGAAGAGGTAAGAAGAAAAAGC